TCAATTCATACTGTATCAGAGCAATCGGCTAAAGTTCACGTGCCTCAAGAAGACGTAGAGCGTCACTGAGAATATTACTCATTCTGACAACTGGAGTTCTACCTGCAATATGACGTGAGTCATTCAGCTTTTTCCTACAGACCCCATAATCATAAATGGTCAATGTGGTCAGATTCTGACAGTGCACTGTGACTTATCGATGTAGTCAGTACAAACCTATTTTTTCCATGAGAACCAATCTTTCACTTGGGCTGTTAGGTCTTTCGACATTGGTCATCTTGTTAAAGCAGCTTTACAGTAAGTAGCCATCCTACACAAATGCTTATCAGAGTGAAGTTGGCTATTAAAGGGACTGCACATCACGAGTTACCTCTTTTCGTTTCATATGCCTCATGTTTGATGGGTAAATAATTCTATACTTATCAATAATTTGTTCTTAATTTTGAAGCTGAGCCTTGAAATATGTCTGAAATGTGTGAATCACTGCTGAGATTTTTATAAAAACACCATTTGAAAAGCAAGTGCCAAAAATAATTTGACTGTTTTACACTTCCTTTGGTAGTTGCATTGCGAGCGATTTCCACTGAACTGTCAAACAAAAAGCTCTAAAATATCTTCAGAAGTGAATGCACATACCATCCGGCGCGTCCCACTATTCACCCGAAGAGAAATTGGTTATGCTCAAATGCAAAGAACAGTGTAATCAGCATATTCATAAATCCATTTTCGATGTATATTTATTCGGTACTTATCGCAAACCTGTGACAGACCTTTAGATACTCAAGCTCATTTACAATCCTGATGGGTTGCTTGTGAATTTTCTACAGCAGTGACTAGTTATGGAATCTCGTGTTGTCGGAATACCTCTGATGGCGGCCCGAAACACATTGCGCTTACCCGGTGAAAATCAGCTGTCACGAATTCCAGCTTCACCTAGGCAGGTTAGCTGGTAGATGGCGATTTAAACACTGTACTATTACCAAACAGCACTCAAAAGTTGAAAACTTGATGGATTTTTACTGGCATATAGAAGTATAAAAACGAAGCCTCTGGTTGCTTTCGGTTCCAGAGCTAAACGCCCATTTGATTTAGCAAACTATATTATATGTATATGTATATGCAGGGGGGGGCGAGTTGATAAGAAACGCTGTATAGCGTGATCAGACTTAAGGCAGAAATCAACATTCCGAATAAATTGCGCGGGACTCACAGTGTCAAAGGTGACAGTGATATTGATGAAAAACAACCACACCACATATTCGAAGCAGTTTGCGTGCAAATATCATTACTGCTTGGAAACTTGCAACAAATTAATACCATGTATTAGGCTACTGGCGGTCCGGAGTCAAAAGTGCAGTCGTAAGAGTTCAATATTTTCCCTCCAACGCGAACAATATAAAATTAAACATTCCCAGGGGGTCTCACTCGGCAGAAAGCTGGGATTTCTCGGCTTCGTTGTTGTGCGTATTACACGATCAAGTGCGCTATTTGGGAACAATATCCTATGAATGCTTTCGTAGCCCATACTAATGTTCCGGTGTCGGGAGAAATGTGTCTGAGACGTCACGTTCTCAGGAATGTTATCCACAATTAATTTTAGATTTCCGGAAACTCTTTTAGGCCGTGTGCCTATTTACTGCTCCGGGGTACAGTGAAATGTCTCAAGGATCGATTTGGGGTTGGTTGACCAGGCTACATGGTGTTCGTTTTATCAATTTTTCGGCTTGAATTGGTTAATGTATTTGTAACTTTGACCGTCAGCCCGTTCAAGCTAATCAGACAAGCCCAAACTGTGCCATGCAACCAGCACGGTATAAGTGGTGAGCGTACCCGCACATACTTTCCGGTAACTGGACCAAGAGGTGTAAAAATATGCGCAGATCGATAATAGAGACAGAGAAACCAAAAAAGCAATTAGTTGACTGTCCTGCGAATAGTTGGACATGGATGTGTAACGATCGGGACTTAGTCTTGAGTCAACAAAAGCGACACGTGTGGGTGTTAAGTGAGTTTGTTCTCTACAACTATAAGCATATGGAGATTTTTTGTTTTAAATACGAAGTGAGCTTCATTTAGGTTGTAGCTTTGAACTCTGGCGATCTGGTGAGATTCAGTAAAACAGCTGTGGCCAACGTTGAAATGGAGCAAAGCTATTGATGATGATGGATCAGCAGGCTAATGCATAATCAACAAATAATGAAATGGAATTTTCTCCAAAGTTGACTGGTGTAAGTGTTCCCTGAAATCATGTTCTAGCAGTGTTTGTGTCATGGTCAGATCCAGACTGAAGGGAGTGGCCTTGAGGCCTGACTTCATCATCATCATCATTGTCAGCTGTAAGAACCGCGTACTCGTCGTACACTGGTTGTAGCTGCCACAGTTTCGTTCACCGATGATTGGGGTGGGGGGAGGTAGCTGCGCATTGCACGCGCGAGCTGGTCAAATGGTCCATAAATCCAGCACTGTCAGTGGGTTGTCAAGTTGGCGGAGGTTAAAAAACTTGAGGATCACTAACAGCTTACTGGTCAACTACGACAACCAGGTTAAAGTTGTTCCCGCTCTGCTTCTTAGCTGATGAAGTGAAGTTAATTCATCTGCTGACGATTGTTTACCAAGCTCTTTTGAAGTGAAGTTAATTCATTTTCAGTCAACGGCTGGAACTTTTTGAAATATTATTCGAGATGAAACTCACCTGCTAAATGCTTGTTCGACGCATAGATTTAGGGAATGTTGACTCTAAGGTGCATTGTGCGTGGCAGAAATATATGTTGAGAAGTTATTTGAAGACCTGGACAGGTGTTACAAGAAGTTTGGAAAACCGTAAGCCCCCAGTAATAAAACCGAAACGGCGATTACGTCGGGCAATAAGATCCGTTCCGATCCTTCGGTGGGGAAATGTACTCTCAAAAACGACGTGGAAATATTTTGAATTGGCTGGTTAACGCCTTAAACAGCGACAGCAAAATCAGAATGCTCCATCCCTTCCCCCAAGATCACAAGCTCAGACAGTTACCGCCGTAAAAGCAACTGATACAGTTGCTCGCCGAAGTAGTGAACTTCACTTGACTCCCCTGGAAATTTACCAATAGGTAGGATTATAACACCTTTCGTTGCGATACTTCACAGGTGCAAAATAGATTATGGACAATGTGGTTGGGATCAAAAAGCGAGTCTATCATCAAAAACCGACAGTTCGCTTGTACCTATATTTTTTATCAAAACGTGTCATGTTCAGTGAGTGCTATTCACCTTCATTCAAATCAAGAAGGCTATCAGTTCCAAATAGACTAGATTTTGTGCGATGAACACTGCGATACGCCTGTCTAAGTACACAACGCATCTCAAGAAAGCTGTTAATGTTGCCCGCATTCTACTCATTACCTAGTAGAAAATTTCACTAAATGAACTGTGGTCGCTTTTTTGCCGACCCTTTTAGTCGGAGGATATCTCAGCTGTTTTTCGCGCACTGCAACAGGACTTCAAGGTTACACACCAGCAGAGTTAGCTTAGGAATCCATATATACATATATATATCTTACGGTTGTGATCGCAGATCCTGAGACTGTTCATTCTTGATAAAACACATTGTCGGTTTAAATCCCGAACCGATGGCTAGTGGCTTGAAACTCAGACAGGTCCACAAGAACGATTTTAACTGTTGTGTTTTGCGATTCCACGGGTTTGCTTTCATCCAACTTAATAGGAGCTAAGGATTGATGAATACATTTACGTACATCATCGCAAACAGCTTTTTTTCTGTCTATTGACGTCAGGAAGCGGTAACAACGTTAACCAGTGAGTCCGTAAATCCGGATAGAATAAAAAGCATCTTTTTCCCAATCAAAAGCGTTTTTTAACAAACATCACCATAGCTGGATCACGTGCGGCTATGCGTCGCTCGAATTTCACGTGGTTACACCCACGTGACTACAAACTTGCTGAAAAATTCAGATAGACCGTTCATCATTGGCATGCACATGGAAGGGGGTAATGTCTCTACTGGGATTCGAATATATATCTCGTCATTTAACTTATCTTGTACATCACCAAAGATCTTTAATTACTTTTCCGCGTCCGGCAAATGGTACTTTTTAGTAACGGGACCGAAAGAGTAGTAAATTCACTTCTGGGCTTCGAAGCCGCTTTCCTGTTTTTGCCGGGTAAGTTATAAAAAAAGCTAAGATTGATAGATAATCTGCCACACTCCACTGTTGGACTGAGTTTACGAGGCTTGAATTTCCTAATAAAAATGGGCAAACCAAACAGTAGGTGAGCCGGAGTCACTTCTCTACAATTTCCAATTGATTTATCGATTAAGCATATCTCATACGAAGACCCATGTGGCCTACGTGTGCTTTCTGGACAGATCACTCATATTCATTGGTTGATCATGATTGCTTCATAACAACTGCTTTAGAAGTGGAAAGCCAGTAGATTTCAATGACAGAAATGGATACAAAATACTAAAAACAAAGAAAAGACGAGAAAAAAACGGAACAAAAACAAAAAGCACACAGTGTGTAGCAAAACCTGCATATTAAGAAAAGTAATAAAGACAATATTGAAAGCAAGAGCAACAGTATCAACTATGGCAACATCAGCAACTATCAGCAACATGGCACTAACTGTTGTAGTGAAAATAGCTGGTTTCGTACAGTTTGATAAGCTTCACATTGAGTCAGACTACTGCGAACAAAATAACTTGGACCGGGTCATTGGATTTGGTAGAGAGAAAATCCTTATAACTTTGCAAAAACAGACTGAAATCCAAAAGTGGCCAGGTAGACAAACTGCAAACAGAATTCCCCGACCAGCTTTGGCACCTATCCGAGGCAAGCATGACTGGCACCAGATGGCGCGACAATAACAAGGTGGCGAACACAGACGAGGCTGAGGAAATGAGACATGAGACAAACACCACAGATGGTGGTGACGTTGCAAAATGCATGGCGCGATAAACATAAGTTCCGTCTGTCTTTGGTAGAGGCAAAATAATAGGACTAAAACTCAGTTGTCGGCGATTTGTTGCGTGTTGATTTAAAGTTGAAATCACAGTTGTGGTCCTCCGGATGATGATGTTTGATGCAGAACCAACGGTCACACCTGCAAAAGGAGTGTACAGAAAGTTTCTTTGGGAAAATTTCAGAAAATTTACAATGGTGCGTACAACAGCAGAGAAATTCAGCCTGGTGTATTTCGCTCAATTGATGGGTGTCATTCAACCAGCTGAGTGTTGGTATTTTCCTTACAATCGTCAAGACAGTACAATGTGAACGAGTTTCCTATCTTCCTGAGGTTATTTAGCAGTGATTTCTATAGGACGTGGCGAACTTCCTATAGAAAATCTGACAGCAAATTTAATGAGCCACAAGTGTTTCCATTATTTAGTGAAATTGTTGGTGTCGAGGCACCTGATCGTTATTTAGACACACACACGTTAGCCACTTCGGACTGACCCACTTATTTTGTCCGTCAAAACAAAACTGGTCGGCAATCTGCGCAGATGTTGCCTGTGGAGTGTTATGTGGGCGGGTAAGCGTTGAATTCTACAAGTCTCGAAACAGTCAGGGGTTTACACGAAGAAAACGAGGAATTATTGAATAAGTCAGTATGATTTCATAGGTAGGATAGTGGTCCACGTACATATTACAAATAATGAGCTTCAATCTTATCCAGAAAAGGATTTGGTAAAACAGTGGATTTATGACTGACAGAGTTTCCCAGGTTGGGTACTGGAATATTTCCAGCGGTCTAGTCTTTTAAAATGTAGATATTTTTGTAGAGTAGCTATACACAAACCATCGCTACCTTCGGACTTTTGAGCTGAAGACCTAAACTGAGGACTCATAGCGTCTCCTACTCTGGGCGTGGAAGCCCTGTTAGTATTCCGGACGACATACAGCCAAGAACAGCGCATTTACAAATAACTCCATGCCACATAGAGCATGGCACGGTGTTATCACTTTTGGTCACTGCACATAATATGACAGCATGAGAATTTGAGCTACCGCGGACACCCTTCTCTTTTTTATTCCACATTTCCGTTCATTACCCACTCCATTCCTTCTTGCTAACATTCTATTCTTCTCCTAATTTTTAAAGGCCGATAAATCCGCTCATTATCCATTACCGTTGACTGTTATAGGTACGCTTTACTCAGCCAAGGCACCTTCAGGCACCGGGAAATTAGCATTTCAATTTTAACGTTCAGCTTCCTTGGCAGTCTGAAATAAACTGGCAGCAGTTTGGGGTTGCATGTGCACTGGCCTCGCCTCCCACTAACGTGTACTACCTGAAATAAGGATTCAAGATTTAAGTTCGGTTTTTGGAATGGCTTACTCATCCGCCTCACCTTATGTTCTCTTACTATACTGAAGCTGACTGGTTCTACCAAGATCGGTGTTGTTTCAAGCCATCGAGCTGAATGCGTGAATGGCTGCTAGTCAACAGTTGGCATTGTGCGGTTGGTGTGACGGAGTCTAGAGAAGTAGCCCGTAAACACTAATAATAGCTGCTTGTTTATTTAATCTACGTACCTCTCAAGTGACTGCGGTCTTGATACTTTCCAGGACAGTTTTCTCAAGGCCGATTATGAGCTCAGTTATTGTTATGGTCAGGCTTATGAATGTCCAGGGATACATGGTGCTGCTGAGACGCAATCACGTGATCCTCTCGGACCGGACTCAAGACACTTGAATAACGGAAACTACCTGTTGCAGTTAAATGATAACCACAGACGGTTTCTGTATCGCACTAACTTTTGAAACAACCAAAACCGCTTGACTGCATGGTTGCCTCTACATTCAAACTGATCTCCAAAGAAAATAAATCACATATGAAGCACATGGGATTCATCAATGACTATCGCTCATTCTAGAACGTCTACGCATATTCTGAGTACACACTTGTTCGTTGCTACTTCCATCTGCTTACTTCGGGGTGCACAGAATATGCACACCTCGCCTAGCTATTGTGGAAACCTCTAACTTCACTGTGAAGCGAACTTCCAGAAACCACGCACTCTGTTCAGGAATGTGGATGATCTCCCCAGTGAGTGCTTGTCTGATATGTTACCCTTTGTCTGAGAGATACGTAGGTCCGTCCAACCGAGCTTGAGTGAGTTGACAGTGGCATCCAATCACAAGAAAGTTGCTCTCAATGAGTGTAGAAATGACAGCGGTATTAGCTTGAACTTCGTTGTAACTAAGCTCTTTGCTTTGTTCATTTTACGTCATATTATGATAGCCCGTGGAGACATATCTCGAGAACAACAGGCTGGATTTAGCTTGAGATGAGGTAATGTGAATTCTATCTTCACGCTCCGTCAAGTGCATGGGCATAGACGCCCTACAGTCTTGAGCTTGTTGAAATCATGTTTGCATTTGGCTCTGTGGACCGCTTCTTTATTCTTCATGCACTTGCGCAACCGGGTATGCCTACGAATCTCATCATTACCATATGCTCTATGTATTCGCGTAATTGTGGGTACATGAGTGTGTACGCAGAGCTTATCGAAACTCTTCCTACAACTAGTAGCATACAACAATGGTATTCACTCCCTCCACTCCTGTTTACTTTCCTAATTAATGATGTTGTGAGGCGAACTCTGGAAGGTCTTCAAAACTCCAGCATTCAGATTCCTCTGATCTGGAGCCTTGTGCATCTGCAGTGTAAAGACCATAATTTTCTCATTCCTGGAGAGTGCAGAAAATCTAGAAAAGCTGACAAATGCCGTCCACCGCTTCGGTGTCTCGCACCCACAAGGCGCAAAGTCAAACTGGGGAACGTATAGACTTTGAACGTGCTGTTGGTACTGTTCGCCTTCCACCTGACCCTTCCTGTACTTGCGTTGGCCTACCAGTGTTAATGGAACTCGTGCAATCAGTTTCCCGCCAGATTGTCTGACGGTGCTGGCAGTATAGACATCTCGGATGTTTGCACTAGGCTAATGCTAGGTCGATCTATCTAAATTTTTCTTTACCTCATACGTCACTATTCAAACAAACGGGTATGTTTGCATCGCTAGGGGGCCTTACTGCACCGCTCATTTACACACGTGATTTATTTTCACCTTCTCAGTTGCCTTACGTGCAATCGTAACCCCTATTTAGGAGAAAGATGTAGCCTGAATCCGCCATCTGGACACGAACGTGAGTGACTGTAAGGCAGTTCGCGCCGAACCATCTTGTAACTGCGGTTCTTGTGAGGAGTAGGTCTGATGCACGACAGGGCTACAATTACGGCTATGGGTAGGCAGATAATAAAGTAGAACTAAGATGGGATATTCATGGACACGAATTTCCGGTCAGATTACGAGTTCATATGAAGATAGTAGTCAATACTTCGAAGCGCGTGAGCGGGAGAGAGTGTGCATATTTCTGGAGTTGATGGCCGTTCCCTGTGGCCCAAATTTTAAACACTAGAAAAACACACTTACCAGCAGCTGAAGCCTGTGGTGAGGCTGGTCCTTTTGTGACATGCCGAGCAGCGTTTTCCAGATGACGACGATGACGATGGGAGGTTATCCACTCGGTCGTTATTCAGCGTTTTTTGGCTGTAATTTGGTAATGTTTTTGGCCCGACAAGTGAAGCCTGTGCTGAAGTGGAGTTCGCATTTTCATGAATTGTTCGTGTAGGTGAATTCTGACTGGCTGTAGTAACTAAGGGATCGTTCTGGCCACTAGGGATGAAAACAGTCAGTACAAACTTGTCAACTGTCAACGCTTGACCAGCGTTTCATCAGTTGTTTAAGGACATCGCAACGGAAGATTTCAAAATAAATGAAGTCACAGAGGTTATTTAGTGCGTAATTCAGATTGGTAACACAGATTTGTGACAGAACCCTTAGTTCTGACAATGGTAGTCTGCTTCGCTGTGCATTAAAAATTAACAGTAGTCCCAAGGGTTCAGAAGACCGAACTTCACTATGGAAAACTGAGGAAGCGACAAAACGAGCGAATGGGTTGATTGGAGTATTCTGGAGGCAGATTCACCAACCAAAGCTTATTTTGATGTGTTTGCATGGCTACCCATAAAAAATAAAAAAATTGCGTACCCGATAAACTAGCAGAATACGTTATGGTGTAGTCTAAGGATTAACAGACTTTCCTGCAGTGGTCACCGAAAAAGTGAAAACCTTCCGGCAAGAGCTTGGAGAAGGGATGTATTATGTATTGAGCAACTATCAATAACTACCAATAGGAGTATTTTTAATGCACGAATCGAGGTCATTGACGTCAAACCGATGGAGGGACTTATCTACACAATGTAGAGTGTAGCGTGTTTGAGAAGTGTCCTAGAGTGCTTGTGCAACCAATCACCCACCGCCAACAACTAAAGAAATGACCAGTATGCCTTCTAACATAAGGATCCAGCGTAATCTAGATGCGATTATGCCTTATTCAGGTAAATCCGAGTTAGACCTGATAACCTGCATTCCCCCTGGTTAATTGTCGTTTCACCAGCGAAGACCAAGTTGTTTCTGTGAACTACGACTCATCCTTCAGTCAGGGAGGACTTTTATGTGTTCAGTGACTCAAGACACTGCATGATGTGGCTGGGAAGAAGGGCGCCCCAAGTTACTCAGTCAAATTTGTGTGTTATTATTATCCCTATAGAACACTACATAACACTATACACCACGCACGACACTACTATGCAGCAAAATCTGTTTTGATTATTGGGCTTGCGTAAATTGGATGAGACTAAGCGAGGAGGATTTCAACACCTCCGAAGAAAACTGGATTTACTTTACTTTACCTTACATTTCTCGACAGCCGACTTTGTTCGACTGGGTGCAACATGCATTTGAACCAGGTTACAATTACAGGACAGTTCCAGATCGTCCTAGTTCTAGGTTTGTCTTTTTTTCACCTCAGACCTAAGCATACTTTCTATCGAAAATACCTGTCAGGCATGTCTTCAGCCACGACTTTACACAAGCCCTCCGAAACATTCGGAGGACCAATCATGATAACTAGCCTCAAATACTGATTAGACTGTAACGCGTCATCTGTCAGTAAAACCTGTATCTCCTTCGATCGAAAGCCTACTGGCATTCTGTCCAATTTGCCTTCTGTTCACAGCACTTGGGTCGCTTTGGCGTCTCGATTACCAATTAAAAAGCGTAGAGAAAAGTGTGACTCATTCCAAAGAGGTCTTTTATGAAAGCTTGCGGCAGCTTCAAGCTTTGCGGCAATAAATAAAAAAATTGAGATAGTATTAGCAAAAAGCTTACAAAAGTTGCCTGGCAGAAGAGCATAAGACCATCCCCCTTCAACCCTAATTAACAACACTCAAATAGTTGGAGACGATTGGTCAAAGTCTAAGACATTCGCGGCCCAATGTGTAAAAACCCCTTGGGAGCTTGACTCCGACCTTCCTTTACTACCGGCTGCTGCGCTTTTAGTCGTCTCGCGTCCTTACCGCAACAGGGTAATTCAAATCCTCGTCTTGTGCCGAGACCAAAATCCTATCCACATGATCGCCCGTCTAAGTTACCAGATTGTCTTTGCTAGGTTTGACGAACTAAAGTCGATAAACATGATTGGAGACCGATATTTTGGCGAATTATTGTCCTTTTAGTTTGATTTCTGTGTTACGCATAATAGTTGACGAAAGTTTTGAACGTGGACTAATTGGGCCAATTTAACTAAATGGTTCTTTTATCCCAGGCACGAAATAGCTATTTCAGATATTGATCGTGAGTCACAATCACATCTGCAACTCGAAAGTAATGGTCAGGAGCTACTATTTATGGGCATAGAATGAACGTGCGGAAAATCCATTTATCAACGTTTTCTTCATAAGCTCCACCGTCATGCAAAGCGTGAGAAACCACCGATTGTTTTGTCAACCTCAGAGTAGCAGACTCTCCTGAGAGTCAGCAACATTTTGTAGCGAATATCCCACGCTGTTAGTGACATTAAACAAGGTTTTGTGCTGTGAATGGCCTGTCAAACTCCACTCAACGAGAGTAATTAGTATGGGCCTTCGTAGCCTTAACTGAAAGTCTGGGACTTTCTATACCCTATACTTTATTGGCTGTGGGCATCGTTAGCTAGCTCTTCCGGATTTAGGATCATCATCGTTGGAACGCCATCTCCCACCCAGCAGTTCCTATAAACATAAATCAGTGAATGCTGATAAAGTGGGGAATCAATCTCGGAATCACGACTCTCATAGAACACAAATCCGCCCTGGATAACTTGCCTCTGGATTGCGATGTCATGGAGGCGCTGTACTGTCCTCCAGAATGGCACCCTAGCTATTCGAGACGATTTCAGTTTCCCATATGCTTCTGGTCATGGATTGTTGAACTGAAAACTTATGTTTGATGTAAGGGGAACATGGTCCAGTGGAGAAGATTCAAAGATGTTGATCCTACCCAGTATTGGGTTTAAATCCGGCTTAAGATTCTTGATGTGTTTCCCGCTGCCTGCTGTTGGCTACGAGATGTACTGTACACATGTCAGATTTGGAATGATACCTTTTAGGGTCAAACTTCGTATTCATCTTGAACTGAAGTTGGCTGAGTCGCGGGCACCAGCCACAATTCTTGAAAACCCGGGGATGTCGTGAAAGTCCGCACATCAGTGTAATTCCTGACTGGGACAAGGGAACCTCACCTGTAGTTCCAGCTCCAAAAGGCAGGATTAGGATGACTTCCGGACGAAATACTGTACAGTACAACTTGGACACGAGGTTTTTAATAGCCAGATTCAATTCGAACATTGTGCAGTGTTGATTACAGCTATCGTCGAGTTGTAGTTACTGTTGGGAGAGTTGATAGAGCTGGCAATGGACTCCCACTCTGTGTTTTACACTTGCCTGTCTGCAAGCCAAATATGAGTGATAAGTTGCTAGATTTCGGTTTATCCTGGTGTTATTCCACTTCAGCGGTTTCAATCTAGAAGCCATTCAATTTACGCCAGTATGCAGCTAATTTGATACAAGGCATAGGCAGACAGCGAGGCACTTATGTATTTGCGTGAAACCAATTATAATCTCCCATCATGGAATGTGAATGTTAGGGCAAGTTAAAACCGACTATCAAAAATAATCCGCCACCGCTACCCCTCCTAGTGTTATAACACTAACTAGACATCCAACGAAACCGAAGAACATTATCTCTTGCTACGCTAGGGATAAATACCAGGTACGAAGCCTACAAGGTGCCCGACATGGATGCATCACAATCAAGCTGCACTGGAAATGGTGCTAGACACTGAGTGATCCAAAGTTACACCGAAAACTACGAGAATCCTTCGTGTAAGTTAAATAGTGTGGACAAAAGCCATTGGGATAAAATGAGCCACATCATTCAAAGTAAGTCAACAACATTAATGCAGACAGCCCAACTATTCCTTGGTAAACTCGGAAATGTGATTCCTTGCGTTAGCTGATCCGCAAGTATACTGTCAACTTAGGGGCTGCTGAAACCCGATGTAACATGATTCCCAAGGAAAGTAAGGCTGACTTGAACTTCTGCCGCTAGCACTGCTTCGGCACAATAGTTTCTTGAGGAGAAATTGTCGGTTTCAATGACCACCCAGCACTCTTGTGTTTGGCAAAAGAAATGGATCTTTGAGGACTATCGAGGACTATCGACCGTGCTATCAGTCATAGCACGCTTTCTTATCGCAGCAGCATGCGATTTAGTTGCATTGCGTGTGGAGTTTTTCAACTGTTCGACCAACCTGATAATAGGACAAACCCATGACAGCAAGCAAAATTGATGAATTTTATCCAGGTTCCGTGCTTCAGTTTGTCGGTAAAAAGTAGATTTAGACATGTAGATTACCCCGTTAATCAATGCTGCATCAAACATTTCGCAGGTGAAGGCCTCTTTGCTTGACAGATACAAGACCAAATCACCGTTTTATGGAGATTACAACTGCCTTTTCTCATTGGTCAACGGAGGAGCAAATCAAATCGAACTGAAGAAGGCAGCAATTCCAAAGACAGTCTTGAGTGAAGTTTCGGATTCATTAAGCTTCCAAGAACTTCACCTTTTTCAGAAACTCCCATTTTATGTGGAAATCACAAAATTCGAAAAGCCCGGAAGTTTGAGCATTGACAAATAACGGTAGAGAAACCTGCCGCGTTCGATTGCCCAGGCTCCTTATTTGGATTAACTTAAATTCCTGCGCAACAAAGCCTCGATAGCACACGACAGAATGTGTTTGCTTCACCGGATATTTAACGGACCATCGAACAAAGGATAATAAAAAGGTAGAGGATAGATGGTTTAGTTTAGTTTATGGATGTCAGTTCCATAGACCAGTAGTTGCCACTATTTGGAACACGAGTATTGCGAACTCACTTTGGTAGGAGGTAAGGGTGGACTTGAACTCGAGAAGGAGCTGGTACTACCACTTGGGCAGTTGGTATTTCTATGGAAGAAAGATCAGTTTGATCGTATTGGGAATATTGGGTCAGGTGTTTGGCCAGAAATTTCACTAATGGAAATGGTCTGATCAGTGTTGTTGAGGAAGATTCACTCTGAAAATTTCCAATTCCTGCACACCATGGATCGACCTGTGCCCCACTGAAGTTACTTTCATTCCACTCAAAATAATCATGTAGGGAAGATTCGTCTGGCATCGCGTCCACCTGTGTTGGGCTCATGTCACCAATAAACCTAACTGTGCCGTCATTGTCTCCTTCTGCGGACGTATGGCGGGGATCCTTGTCTGCGTTTGGAATTGGGACAATGTGAAAGAAGTTCTGAAAGTCAAAGAGGAATGTAGAGCAAATGAAAAAGGTGCCATTTGCATGAGAATATTTCATCCTATCTAGAAACAGATGAGCACTGTGACGGTGCATCAGTCTTTTACTACAAAAGTGAACAAGTTTATAAAAGAAACTACTCACAAATTTGCTGTAAACTCTTCGAGTGCCTATGACCGGTTTAGCCCTTCTTGGGACTCATCAGGTAGGCGCGGTCCCCTAGTTTCCGTCAACCCTCTGTTCTACTTGAACCCAAATTGGACAGTTTTCGAGAAATACACTCGTTTTCAAATCAATTTGGTTTTCACGAAAAACTCAGCTGAATTGCTCGTTTATGATATTCTACAACTGAAGGTGCTGCTGAACAGATTAAGGTTCTGATTATCTCATACCCTGATAAAAACCTTAAATATTCTCACCAAGGTTCTTGATTTATATGACGGAAATGACTTTGCTTTAATGTTTATGCAGTCCAAGAGTGCCTAACTCTAAATACACTGTGGACGAAATAACCGATAAAAACGGAGCTGTTTAAAATAGTTGAAACTATTTCCAGTAACGTTTTAACAACTTATAGACTTTTTGACCGTTTGTTTTATTGAAACTTGAGATGTAGCTCTGGCAAGACAGTAGGCATTCCAATGGAACAGCAGTGGAGTGCCGAACTTTTGCCATCCTTTGATTGTGTATGAAACAGATTACAATAGTAACATTTACTGGCCGGAATTCCGTAGAAAAGAACCTAAGATCAGTCTTTTCACCGTAATCTGTTAATTATCAAAAATCCTTACGAGTGTAGACATGGCTCGGGGCGTAGTATTGCAGTGTGGCAATTTCATATTTTCATCGATTGGAAAAGGTATCAGATGTTAACTTACGTTTCTATAGTGCGTTGGTGATTGGATGTAAGTTACTGCTGGAATCAGGGATCCATTCAAAGGTACCAAGTGGTAAACAGGGTGAGCAGAAATGCTGATCGGTTCAGTTGGCACTGCGTTGCATTCCCTGGAGAGTAAGCTGCTTTGTTGTTCTCCCGGGTTGAAATTAATCGCATCTTCTGAAGCAGATTTCACATCCCCTCCGTCGATAGCGTATCCAAGATACTCGGCTAGCTGACTAACTTCTTCCTCCGATGTATCGAGTTCAGCACCAGAAGGACCAGAAAACGCACACGGATTGGGATTCAGGGAGAAAAATCCACGCTTTCGTTGTGAGTATTGTTCTTTCGCAAGATGAGGTATTGTTACCACCGAATTCCAGTGACATGCCGGATGTCCTGCTGGTATGGGTACGGGACAGAGACTCGGCTGTTGGTGGCCTAAATTTACCTGATGGATAGTACTCGTGGTTGGAATGTTGGCTGTGATATTATTTAGTGGAGCAGCATGCATTTTCAGCACTAAACGGAGGAGCGAACCATGGCCTATGTTTGCCAAGGCTAGTACTGTTGCATCCGGCAATTCATTTCCATCATAAAGTAGATGTTGCTGAGCAACAGGAATTCCTGAAGGGGATAAACAATGATTTTGTATAATGCTGCAAAGTATAGGTGTAGTATATGTATTCAAAGCAAAAGAAAAATCAAAAGACAGTGGAATTGCTTGCATAAAACTCTAAAGGAAAAGTGCACAAGACATTTTTAAATCCATGACTCAGGCGTCTCATGAGAAAAAAGTGCTGATCAACTAGGATGAAGTAAGACCTTCGCACTGCATGGTAGGTACATATAGGGTTTTCTAAAATGTTGGACAGACCGTTTCTGTTCTGAATTACAGTGGTCATTTTGGCAGTGCAACACTCCACAATATCTGTTCCACGTTGGTCAAACTTGCAGTATTATTTACACTTTTGTCGGCTATGAGAGCACGTAAAGATGGTTGAAGGCCCAATAAGGTAAATATTGTGGGAGTCTGGCACTTTTTACAATTGTGCCAAGTGCATTATACAGAAACAACTCAAAATAGTTCTAAAAGTAACATCTTACGCGCTCAGAACAAACTCCGAATTAAAAGCGGTGAATGAGCAATTACTGGGATGAAGTGACCCTGTTATGTGAGATCTTCTGAACCCATAAGATAAGCTGCAATCCCCTTATCTGCAATGCATTCCCAAGCACTGGACAAACTGAGTTCATGCCATAGAGTAGAATGATCCTTGTGACACGCCTCGTGTACTGCATGAAATGCTGAAAACTCTGGGAGCACGATACTGTGTTCCTTGAATTTCAAACAAACGTGCTTGTGGGTATTCCACATGGGTCCTCGATTTGTTTTAATGAAGGACTCCTACTTCGACAATCCCAACGCCCAACAAACCAGCTGAAGAGGCACCATGCATCCGTGCTTGTCACAAGTCGGCGCGTTTTATTATTTTTACCCGTATTTACTTGCAACACCATCACAAAACTGGATTCATATGAGAATACTGCTTACATGAAGTGCCCCCAACGTCTTCGAAGTCTAGTGGTTTCCTAACGCCAAGATATAATTTCCTCCACATCAAGCATAACCGCTAAATGTGTCTGATTTTGTTGTGTTCACCTGAAGCGATCAGCCAAAAGTCCCCTACTTTGGAAGATACTTTTTCTGAAGGGATCTATGACCGTTTAAAGAAAATTTGCAGGACTAAACAATGGATTGTAGGTAAAGAGAAATTTGTGATAGACATCGTCATGGTATTGTTTTATTTTCTTCTAGGGCATCGACAGAATTGGCAATAAAGTCCTTTCAAACGCTTGTTGTCAGACACTCGATTAATGACAGAATACAATTAAAAATGGGGGGTGTTTCTTGCTGAGAAACAAATTTACACATAAAGTGACATTTAATGTCTTTGTGTTTGAGTTTCGATTGCGATTGAAATCCTTCAGAACCGCGTGGTAGTGGTTTTAGTTAAGGTGTGGACACCCTCTCGCGGGATGCTTATTTAAGGGACTATTTTGTTCACCTTCACTAAACTGAAATATTGTTACAACTTTAACGCAGTGCCAAAATAATATACTTTGTCTGTGATCATAGAAGTAGAGTTAGTAAGCTGATTGGCTCTGCCATGGTCCGATTTGCTTTGTAATAGTTCGCACAGATGAGGTGTGTAAAATAGGGGTTTGTTAAGAGATGGAGTTTCAAAAACTACTTTATTATGGACAGCACGAAATAAACTGTGCTTTCCTGTGAAGCACGAAAGCAAAGTGCTTACAAAGTCGGGCTAAGACGAGATGAAAAGTCTTCGGAAGCTTGTTGCAAGTTTTGCCAATCGTTGGGATCATCAGCTAGGTGCAGTCCCGGAGTTCCGGTCGGTCACATTTAATAACTGAAAACCAGTATTTTACTAAATGACGTCTGCAAACCGGGTTAGTGCCAAAGGGCATTTGAATGAAACTGCACTGAAGTCCTAGTTTTTAGTGACCTCAGAATGAATATATCGCATGAAAACCGCTTACGATTTTAGTCGAAGTACTATTTAAGAGACGCATGTGGCACTATTCATTGCAAACAAGGTTAGAGGTAGTGTAAGTAGGTCGAAAAAATGAGCTTCCAGCATGGAGCAACAACTTTGGGCGCGGAAAACTAAATATCTGCCTGAACAACTGGTGTTCATTGATCACTGTTAAATGTAAGACAGAAATATTTGATCAGTCTGCAATGCTGTCACCTCTCAGATAAACTACTGTCGTATTGTTCGGTAAGTTGAGTAAGCGTTCACGCTGATTATTCAAAAGCTGGCGCAACCAGAGAATCAGGCAGTAGCGAAATATGAACTCACTTCACTCATAGCTAAGCACTACGGCAGTTTTTAAAGTTTATCGATCTGGTAGCTGACACATTTCCAAAAACTGTGGCAAGGTCCATTGAAGTCTCAAAAACATAATTTCCACAGACATGGTCACCTAACAACAGAAGAGATGATTGGTAATTGGATTACGAGTTATTGGAAACTATCTATGTTAGTGCATGTATTTTAAGGACAGGAAGGAGTTCACATAAATTTCATGGATACAAAGAGCTTCGTTTGAGTCCTGTCTAGGTTATATTAGTTGAATCGCGAGTTTGTGTATTTCGTTTAACATCGATAGAAATCAAGACGAGCACTTACTCACCTTGGACCTAGCTACCCGCGAAATAATGAGCTCACGACAAGTCCGTGTGATTTTATGTAGCTTATTAGGTCTTGGAATAATGGTGATGAAAAACAAGCGGACGGTTTTGAAGTCTGTTACGGCCCAGGATATGCACTGCGGATGACCATAACACATTCGCAAGTTGGGGCCGGTACTAGTACTTTGTTTGTGGACAAGCCAGAATGAAGCTTTAGGATTGGAGGAAGACTGTTTCGGAGAAATTAAATGACCTCATACGGACCGTATATATCCTGGATGCCCTAGAAATCGTTCCCATATTTATGGTCAAATAACAAGTTGCGACTGGTAATTAGATTGCAAACAATTGTTATTAGCGCTAGACGTTGAGCTAGCTTATTATTTTTAAATTTTTTTTTTACTTTTCAATTTCTTGGCAGTAGATTTACTGTTTGGGAAGCAGGGCGATAAAGTAACCGGAAAATGTTAACTTTTATTCGTTTTCAGTATACATTATTTCCCATACAATTCATGAATCCAACGTATTTGACATAATTAAACTATTTGATCACAAATATCCGCTAGTCCGGTCACCCTTTGTGACTCATAACTTGGTAAGTTATTAAAAAGCCGGTTTGCATACTACCTTCTAAGGCGGTATCAATGTAGACGGTGATTCCATTCTTATTAATTAGCACCTTGAACTTTCCCGAATAAAAAGGCCATCAAAGTGAAAAAAGTGATTCCTGGTGCAGTCAAATTTTGACTGACTGACAAGCAAGTGGGTGTGTTTCTTTAACAAACCGCTGATTTTCATGGCATGGCTGATATTACGGGGTCCCGGGTTTGATGCTTGACCGAAAGCTGTGGAGATGTATAATTCGGAAGGCTCTCCACAGAAAGCATTTTGTTTTACTTGTCACTCATCAAGTGGGAAAAGATTGCGGATTACTAATTGTAAAGCTGTTTGCTAGGATAAGTCAAATAATTTATTTGCCATGCAGGCATGTCGGCGGATAAGTTTCGATGACGTAGAAAGCTGAATTCGCCAATCGGGAAGCGTCGTAGGTGATCCGTTCCACCCACTTGACGATTCGTTATAAGAAAGAACGACCTAGTGTGTAGTGTGTAGTGCCCTTCTGGAACCCACAACGTCATCACTTCATTAAGGTGAAGAATTCTCCACTTCACTTGAAAATCAACACAAGTGCTGTTTCCCATCAGAAATGGAAACTTTATTTCCGAGGTAAAACCAAAGACAAAGCCATCCTAATCTCGACCTGAAGGGTAATCAGTATCTGTATAAACTACGCTGAATCACCTCAGAAGGGTGAGCATGCGTGATAGATTGTGGACCTGTCCACGATCCTGGGACCAATGGATTCAAACTAACTGCTACAAGCTCGAACACAGTCAGGATTAATAAAGTGCACATCACCGTCCTAATACCTTTGAAACATTTGCACAAAAACAGCTTTTCAGAGCATGTTGACTGAGATTTACTAATCAAAATTCGAACTCTTTACTTCAAAATTCAACACTTTCGAGAGTTTTACTTTTAACTGAAGCAATCTGAGGGACTTTCTCCTATTTTACGACATAAGCAGTGAAGCAGTGGAAGCATATAAGTAAACTTGAAGGAACCAGAATATATCACCAGCAGAGTAATGGGGGAAATTTGGACGGATATACTCCAGGCGTTTTCATTCAATTAGATATAGGTCAGAAATATATAAGCCACCCGAAAATGTACAGCGAAACCGAGTAAAAGTTAACTGAATACTACAAGAGACGAAGGCAAGTGACGCAGTGCTGATAATGACCACAGGTCTCCGCCCACGATCCGAAATCAATGGTATTGCGACTGCAAATGCGAATGAAGTGTGAACATGCAAATTGTGGGTGACAATGCAAACGGTAACAAACCAAAAGTACGTACAAAAACACATCACGTTGGAGACGAATGGAAGTTTGAGTGATAGGGTTACAGAGAAGAGGAAGTTTGAAGGCGATAGTGTGATAATTTATGGTTCTGTGCCTCTTTACAACATAGTCTAATATGATGAATGATGCCTACTTTGAGCACAGTTACTGTTCATCGGCAGTGATCGAGTTAAATGTGCTTACTTGGACGTATTCATTATGGGGCAACAATAAGCCTTTTTGAAAAAGGTTTATTTCATCCAAAGACTCAACATAGGCGTTACAACCACACAGTTTTAAGCTCAAGGACAAAATACATAATGTGAAAAAATATCCCAACCACCAATCTTTTTTACTTTTCTCAGCCTTAACGTGATCTAAAACAGCCAGGATTCGTATATTTGCGACAAAGCTTTCCTTGGAGCACTCATGACCAATTTTGTAGGATGTGTACATGAAAGAGGGGAAAGTTCGGATTGATCACCGCACTAATTGGCCCAATTGTTTGAATTGTTTTGTACTCGACAGATGCAGTAAGAAGGGACTCCAGGTCATGAGTGATGTGTTCCCACCCATGATCGTCACCTCTGGCCACACGCTGGCGCGAGAACAACCGTTGTCATAGGTGGAAGGAAACTTACTTTGCACACAAAAGCACCACAACATGAAACAAGTACCTTCAAGCAATAACTGAGTGTGCTTGAGGTTGGGTATGTCGAATGTGAGCACCTGATAAGTAGACCGGGTTTTTTACGAGAGCGAAAATTGTTCCTTATTTGTCCACGCAACCTATCCTGCATTAACAGGAGAACACATCACGATGAATTAGAAGATACAATCCTTCCTATGCGACTTAGATTACGTGTCTTACTATCGACAATTCACTAGAGGAACAACCGGAGATCGCGCTAGCCAGAGTAGAAGCACAGTAGGTTTCAGAGCTAGGAATTTTGGAGATACGGCCTTCGATAGGCCACATAGTCCAAAGATCAGGGCAACAAGCGCTTTTTGCCGAACGAGGCATCAGAAATGAGAGGTCAAATACCATCAGTATTAGGATAAATCAATCCATATGGTTGATCTTCTACAGTATCCAGCAAAGGGTGTGATAACGTACATAGCCAACAGTAGTTGGATCGAGGTGATGAGGTATCTGTACAGCAATTGCAAGTTCATTATTATTGTGAACGAATTAAAGAACGTAATCAGGAGTTTATATAGAATCTGGAAATGTGGACTTCCTAGCGCTAAAACCACAAATGTGTTCGAGCGGATTCAACATAGACATTTCAAAATATCTTTTACTAAACTAGCACTCATCCGAATTTAGACGCACCGGAAAACTTAAGACAAAAATCACACAAACTATGTAAGCAGAAAGTTAACTGAATCGTAAATGCGGCTAACCCATGTAATACTACAAAGTGTTTGAGCTTACTAGAAGCGGAGAAAAAAGGACAGATTCATTTCACCTTCGCACATCATAAATGACTTGTGGAACAGGAATTACATCTGAGTTACAGGCTTCAGCCACCAATGCACACTCAACACCTAGCCTAACGTATGATCATTCTAATTCTAGATTAACCTAATAACTGAAGCAGTCTGGAGTTTGGATTAGCCTGTACACATTTCAAAAAAGTCGATGGGTAAAGACATTAATTATTATTCAAGATGTGTGTTGCATTGTTGAGCAAAGCAGGTAACGTTATTTCTTTCGAAGTGTATACATGTCTAAGTTCAACTATATGTACGTATACTGTAAATCTTATATAAGGAGACAACTCAAAAATTTTCTATCAAGCAAAATTAGGCCTAAAACTGAAGAAAAAGTGGCTTTAGCTCGTTGTAAGTATTATTCAAATGCGGGCTACATTTCCCAGTAAACTAGTAACTATAAATGGCAGAGAACTATTGTTAGATAGAACGGGGCGATGTTGTCTTGTGTCGTGCATGGAACACAGTTTCATTGGATAAGTTCAGATAAGGTATGCTTACGCATAAAACCATTGTGAGCTTTTTTTACGTTTTATAAGTGACACTCCGGCAAAGGTGACGGATATACGTATGTTCTTTGCTTCCATTTACGTCAAACAACTATTTTGGATTGTCATCTCGTCTATCTACGTCACCGGTTTGATTCGTTAAATCAGCCTGCATCAACACAGGTGCCGCGAAAGATACGAACAGACATGTGTGTGGATTGGTCGGCTGACTACAAGTGAATCGACCAATCCGACTAACTGCTGAATTGAGGGAATCGGTGGACACACCAACCGATCTTCAACCGGTGGGCTGTTGAAATATAATGAGGCGCGACACACTAGCAACGAGAATAGCTTACGTTTCGTTCCATGTGTGAGCTTGCCACACCTACGTAACAGACCGTAGTGTTGGTCGTTATTCTAGTTATCATGCATGACATCTGTCACTCTGTGAGAAACGTTACAGTTACGGTCATTCGTTGCCGGGGTAGACTATGCCCATACGGTTGTAGTCATGGCATCTTGAAATATGTGGGTGTTCAAGTCACTCGTGAACAATTCTGCAATGAGCTCATGTTACACCGGCTGTTGCTACACTCGCTGCACTTGCGCTTTGCATTTCAAGACCAGACAAATCCTCGTCTGTTCTCCAAAACTACCGAAACCCAGACAGTATCATGATCTTCGTCATCGTGACAGTCACATGATGAGTTTACTACAGACGTCAACAGCTGTCAACTCTGAATCCTCTGAAATAGTCTGCATCGTCATTCTTTTCTATTTCCATGCTATCCGACTATTTGTAGCACACAACGGCATCGTACTAATAAACTATCGAAATGCATAAAAATCAGCTCAAAATCAACAATAATTCGAGGCGATATACAAACGGCTTATGGATTTTTATCCACTTCTAGCGCCATTCAGCTCCACCCTGAATTTAAGTGCTTGGTTTGTATTCGGTGACCATTACCATCGCTCACCTCAATTGAGTCGGCCTGGCAACACATTAAGGCAGACACCCAAGTATCGCCTTAAGTGTTTCTATGCTTTGGCTTCAGTGCCTGCAGCAGACCGATAAAATAGCCAGGTCTCTGCCGCTTCTCAAGAAAGCCCGCATGTATAGAGGATATTACTGCTAGGGAAACATAGAGTGAAATGCAGATAGTTACGTTTCATACAGAAGATCATTTTCATAATCATCAGACTCAGAAACCGTGCAGTACAGTGTTGTACAATGGTTATGGCTGCCACATTCTCGTTCGCCGATGAACTGGGCAGGGGCAGTTATCTACGCGTTGGAGGTGGCAGCAGCTATTAATGGATGCGTCGGTACAGGGGCGTCAGTAGACTTTGCTTTGGGAGAACTGGGTGGAGTGACTATGCATCAAAGGCCACAAGTTGAACGCCAGAGCACCACTGAACAATGCCTGACGAAGTCTCTAATCATTAATTTTTTACGTCTTGGGGTCCCATCCAGGAAAACGGCAATGACCAGCGCAGCCGAGATTGCTGTCCATGGTTTTCTTACTCTATTGCCAAGATATTGTTTTTCTTCTCCTGGCACGTTTCCACTCTTCGCAAGTTTGTGCAAAATGGTCTTTTCTAGGAATTTGGTTGGCTAACATACGGAACACGTGACCAGTCTGGGAAGTGTGATCAGTTCCCCTATTTCTTCCGAAAACCATTTGACGTATTTCAACATTACTTACCCGACCTACCCACCGAACGTGGAAAATGCAAACTAGCATGTCTCCTTAGTGAAAAATTGCCATCAGAACCCACTGTTGACTATTCTGATAGTTAATGATTACTTAAATGTCTGTTAAACTAAGAGAGTTCTTCTACTCCATGTAACGAAATAACGACATAGGTCTCATTCGTCTTCAATTACTAGACCTTAATCACGTTATCCCATGTTTTGATTTACTTGCCAAACGAAGGAACTTGTCCTTTGTCTGAGATACATTACCAGATGCATGGAATAAAAAATTATCTAAAATCTTGTACTACATGAGGTTTATGTCACCATGAGGAACAACTACTACGTTACCTTTGATCTGAAATATCCTTGACTTGACCGAAAGCACGTCTTCATAAGGATGGACCGTTACTGGTGTTACCCCGCCTGACAGTGCGCGTATGAAAATCAACATCCTGGAACTTTGTTGTCGATGATGTTCTTCGAAAGCCTTCCGCCCTCCGTTTCCTTGGATGAAACTGTTGAGTCGGAAATTACGCCGTTTTTGTATTCCGCTGTCCGGTACTATGGCCTGGCAAGTGGATGCTGCTACCTCTGTTGCGCTCATTAGCCATCGTCCAATCAAATCAAATGTTTATGTAATGTGATGCTTAACCAGCCAATTGGATTATTCAGAAAGCCAATCGGAGGCTGTCTGGTGAATCACCTGTCTAACCCTCGTTTGTCGAAGCGTCGCGATGGCTAGTGAATCCATTGGGTAGGCGGACGATGAATGACGTCTATTGGGGCTAGCTAGCAAACGATCGGCTACATATCGACCACGTAGCTGCTAAATGAGGTAATGCATGTTTCGGTGGAGCGATGCAGTTATCCACAAACGGACTTGAGTTCAGTTAATTCATTATTTCCTCATGATGATATCGAGCATTGGAACCACAGAACAATCATATGATTAGTCCGCTTTTCTGTAATTAAAAAACTACACTGAGTTTTTGAAACAATCTGCAGAGCCAGAAACCGCAAAAATATCTTGACTGCCGAAAGTTTCGGCAGAGATAACGTCAACCATCAGACCGAAAGTAACCACCATACCAAACGGTTAACCAGGTTATTATCATTATTCCAATGTGAGGTCTCTAGACTTCAGGACTAGACAAAAATTTCTTGCTCCCACTGGATGACGAGTAAAATGTTAAAATGCACCGTAGAATGGTAATTAAAATTGACCTTACTTTTACTTACTTACTTAGTTAAGACTGCCAATTAAATGAACCAATATCTCATTTAAAGAACTTGGTTATCAGTGATAGCTTATCTCAACAATTAACTAGGTTATTTGTAATCTTAGTGCGAAGCAAAAGGGATTTCTCTAGTTGATGGTGTTATGTAGTCAACTTAAGTGAAAATGGATGACTTATCGTACTAGAAGACGTGGATTCTTGATGGCTCGTGATTTATCCTTGAACGTTGTACATCTGTACAGACCACAGATATGTCCCTACAATGCTAACTCCCGAAACAACCGAAGTCACTTGGCCATATGGTGCCCTCCTATTGGAGCAAAACTCCAACATGATCGGACGAACTTGTCATTAGCTACAAATAGCGTGGTCAATTACTGGTTGTCGCTCTTTCTGTAACAATTGTGTTTGTTCATTTGCGTTTCTCATTACGACCTTCAGGGATGTTCCAGGTGCACACACATTGCTTAGTCAATTAGGAGATATCGGACTCTAATGTGAGTGAAACACCAACATTGTCATACTGGTGTTGATGTCAGTGCTACCACTGGCGACGATGATGTGACACCTGCAGCAAAATAAAGTTCTCAACGTATCTATTCCTTCTAAATAGAAAGTCTCCTGTTTACCACACCTGTCACCCCAGCTTGGCTATTCAAAGCTGGCCAAAGGCCGAAGCTATCCTCGGGGGAGCGACAGTATACGAAATTCTAAGTGCTTCATATTCTGGTTCCTGAAAGAACCAGCCCCTGGAAATAATTCAAGAGAATCTGGTGTGTATTGCAGTGTTTGTTCATTGTGTCGTTGACCGAACAACCAAGACTAGTTCAATAATCAGCTGAATTTCAACAGCCTCTCCCTGTGTGGAGATGGAGCTACGCGAGCGAAAGTGAACGTTAAAATAATTGCCTCCTGTTTTTGAATTTGAACTGAAGATGCATAGGGCGGTAGTTCTTGGTTGAAATGATCCTATCGTGGTTTTAGGATTGATAACAAACTTTTCAGGTAATTTCTCATTGCAGCCGTCGAATATTCTTTGTGCTCATTAGTTTTCTTGTCAATGAATTGAAGGTCAGAATACAACAGGTCCACGATCGAAGGCTGTGGTGCAGCTACGCATCACCTGAAAAGTACAGGTAGGTTTATCATGATGACGAAGAAAACACGGTAATAAAAGAAATAAAATAGGACCTTTTTCCGGAAAAACCTGTTTCCAATACGGCAAAGATAAAAAGATGCTCCCATTTGCCTGCCGATTTAGGTTTCAAGGGAAACCGAACTGAATCCCAGCTGGGTCTCTCTTTTATGGCGTCCTTCTTCCACTGAATGTGCCGGCTCACTCACGCTTTAGTTGGCACAATATTCAAGAAATCGCAATGCATTGTGTAGACGTAATACATTACTCATACCTTGGACCGTCCAACAATTTCCAGCAGCCTTATGAGTTGTGTGTTATGCCAAAGGTCGCTTCCTAGGAGTAATTTTTTTAACGGAATCACACTGTGAAAATGTATTTGACAACTCTTTAAATTCCTCAGAAGTTGAGGGTTTTATTAATACCAATATAGTTTACCTGCAAGGGTTGACTGATCACAGTAGTAATTACGACTGATCACAAATTAGTTCGTAAATATTTTATCCCATGATGGATTTACACTTTTAAAGAGAGTTCAAATGTAGCGGTGTTCTTATTGCATCTGGACGAATTGAATGTTTTTTTATATAGAATTGCGAAAGCCTGATGGGCCACATGGCCATCGTCCTTCAGTCGTTCCCAGTGAAAGCAAACTGAGTGACCGATCGTACTATGGTTTCAAGGAGAAAATAACATGCCCGTGACAAACGTTTCAGTTTTAATCCATAGTAAAACAGAATGAAACATCAGAGGACTCAAATTTAGCTATCTATGTTGTATTGTTGAGTGCAGCAGTGAAGCCTACCAGGAATTGCTAGCTTGCCAGATGCTTCGGGTAAATTTCAACCGTGCATGAAACAATTACGGTTGTAACACAGGTCATCTGTTTTCAGGTTGGTTTCCTCCAAAAGCGTTCGCAGAAATCTTACAGCTTGGAATACCGTTGGGTCGTGTATAAATGCAGCATGCAATCGGTCTGGAATAAGGAATCAACTGCAACTATTTTGGATTAAAGTGCTGGTTTATTGTGGATGACCTCGAGAAGTAGCCGTCCGACATTTTTGGTCATAGATGTTCAGTGGTTTTTCCTCGTTAAAATCATTATATACATTGTCTGATGAGTCCAAACAAGCGAGCTGCTTCTTATGTCTGACACAAGTCTGATACACATAACTACTGGGAGTTTTGGCTAACAAGTCATTCGGAAGTATTTCATCAGTGCCGCTATAGTTCGCCAACAGAAGAAATAAGCAAAGTATATGATCACAGAGGTGCAAGTAAATACACGGAGCAGTTGATAAAACCGGAGGCATAATCAGACGGCCTGGCACTTGAGGGTACTAATTATATTGGTAAGAAGTGAGATGCGACGAGTAATAATGCGACACGGAAAATGGGAAGCAGCTCGTCACGGATTATTCCTAACTTCAAGTGATATTATAGATTAGCATTAAGTTAACCGTTAGATAATCAATTCTAATTTCCAGAGTCCTGAAACTTCAACTAGAAATGGGTGCTTTCTTAACAGCACAGTCTGGTTGTTCCAGGGACATCCAACCCACATTCATTGTGTAAAACCGAGTGCCCTACTTCACTCCTCACAAAGGATAAACTCGCTCAATAACTTGGTGTGCGCACAATAAAGGAGGACTATTGCAACATAAGCGTCGCACATTGAAGATATAGAGTCCAATGAACACCTGCCGAAAGATGCTCGAAGGACTTTCAGCATAGGTTTTGTCAAACACACTACGATGGCTACAAGTTTTCAAAGCATCCCAACTGTTGACCAAGGTTCATGTCGCACAACTCAAATGTGAATCAGATAAATATGAGAGTCATCTGTGAAGAATATGTCCTGTTCGTTCACAATATGCGGGTCGTCAGACTTGTTAAGTATAAACGAGGCTTAGTATGAATCAGAGCAGAAGTTTGAACTCAGGCTGACAGTCACCCGAGGTGACACCATGCTATCCTCAAAAGTATGTATCTACCTTTCGGATAAACAGATCTGAGCTGTCAGTAGATTGCTTCATCTACTTATCAAATGTCCCACTGAGTTTTCAAATTTAGTCCAGTATATTCGCAAAAAATATAGATGTAAAATTCTAGCTTCGTGGTGGGTAAGTTAATGAAACACGTTTGAAGTCGGTATTAATTCTTTGTTCACTACCACGAGGATTACGCCGTACACTCTTTTGCCTCCTTTGAATTTTTGGAGTTAGTAACTCCTCTTTGGGGAAGGACATCTTCGTATTTAATAAGGACCTTTGTCTTTGTGATGTTAAGTCCTCGGTTCTCATTCTTCATTCATTCAGCGCAACAGCTTGATTGCTGTATTCTATATTATGCTATACTATACTACACTATACTATACTATGCTACACTATACTACGCTATACATTACACTCATAAGTAGCATTACGTGAACAAATGATTCTGGCAAGAAGCAGTAAGAAAGCTGATGCAGCATGACGTACTGCCCCATCACATGAACGGTAATTCGCAAGGCTGTCATTTCAGACTAACGGATTCCGTGTTCAAAATTGGAAGGATTGCGTCATTCTAACAAGCCTACATTATGAGATACTTTTAGAACTCACTCTGGAGTAAAAACCATGTACACCTGCACCTGATATTGTAATTATTCAACCTGCCACGTGTGTTGCTTAGCACGGTGGTCTTTTCGTAGATCTGACGCAATTTTAAGGTGGAATAAAGGTAGTCCTTGCTTCGTGTGGTGATAAATCTTTACGTGAGGGCGGGGAAGACGCGCACGTTCGCCCGCGATTTGAACTACTGACAAGTCGGCTATAGTTAAACTGTTTTTTAAACGCAGTGTCCAATAAGTTTGGTCCAAAAAATCAGGAAATTCACAATTTTTAAAAACAATGGGCATGCGTTTCGCTGTTTCTTTTAGTTTCTGTCATATTTAGGACAACAGGATGCACAAAGAGATAAAAAAAATATTTTCGCCCTAAGAATGTGCAACACGGAACCCATAGGACCTGGGATATGACGACGGCTAATTACTAACACTGTGTACGATAAAAGTGTTTCAGACTGGTTCGACATTTACCCACTTGGGCATGGCATTTGATCTAGCACCCGTTTTGTACACATTGTAAACCGATTTAGATCGACCTAATGACAGCCAGTTACCGATGAACAGGTCCTCTTTAGAGTTATCACTTTCATTTGGTTACCTTTTCTGGAGCTGGTA